CTAAACTTTGATCCCTGAAATTTTTGGGCAATACCAATGTTCACTTTGTCTGGTTTTGTTGCAGCATGCCCCATATATACTGTCAATATTAAATATTAATATTTATAAAAAATTTACGCGATATGCCTGTTGGTAGGTAGAATTAAGAATTTTAGGACAAGAGCGAGTAGATACATATCAATATATTTAAACTTATTATAAAAAAGAATTTCTTTAACATGTTTAATATGATTAATTGTACAAATAAATAGTTTGGAAAAACTTTATTAACAAAAGTTAATAATGAAAAAAATCGAAGCAAGGAATCCAAAACATGTATCTTTGTTTTCTTTGTCTTGCTGGATCAAAGAAAAGGAATTACGGTAACAATAAGCTGGGTCTTTGTGTGTGCTTAAACAAATTTACAAACACTTTGAAAAAGAGAAGGATTAAAGAATCGTTGGATCCGTAACTCACTTCTGCTGTTCAATTTAACCAAAAAAAATGATACATTATTAGGAAAAGACTATCATCGTTAACGAAATAATATAATGATGATGATGATGATGATAATAATAGGTAAAGCTTGATATTGAGCAACCTCGTACGACCGACTGCATGACTATTAATATTTCCAAATTTGAAAATTTTGACATTTCATTTTTTTTTTTCAAAAAAAGTAGCTAAACCATGTTAAGTTTATACGCTGCTAATAGTTTATCTAAACTGGAACAACTTCCAATTGAATTATTGGAATTAATATTTATATTTTCACATAATCCATTATTCACACAAGTTTCAAAGAAATTCCATCAACTTTTCAAACCAACACTTAGTTTAAAGGTCCGTTGGTTAATGAATATTAGTAATGAAAATTATTTGAAAGCATTATATAGAGGAGTTAGATTCAAATTTTTTGATAAAGAATTATTATTTCGTTTAGATACATTACATCTACAACAATATCTAAAGAATCATAATATAATAGAAACCCAATCACCACCAACTATCATACCATTCACAGAACGAGCAATTCCATATAGGTTTTTTTCATTGCCAGATCCAGAAGGAAAATTGATAGAATTAACAAAAATATTATTAGATAGAAAAGCATCACCGGATGAACCTGATGGTTACCCAATCATAAAGTCTGCAGCTACAGGTAAAGAAGATATGATAAGGCTGTTATTGGAATATGGTGCAAACCCAAATATTAAATCAGGCACAGCTATTACCTTATCTGTAAAGTATAATAGACTCTCAATCATAAAACTATTGATTGAAAAAGGTGGCAGACCAAAGTCTAAAGATGTCAAAATAGCTATTAAAGATGGAAATTGGTATTTGGCTGAATATTTGGCAAGAAATGGAGCAGAAATTTCACTAGATACAAGAAAAGCAATAAGTGAAAGGAGATCAGATATAAAATAGATTTATATATTTTATTTTTATTAACATTATACTTGTATTGATTTATATATTTATTTATATTAATATGCTTTTAATTATTACATTGGAATAAAGAACAAGCAAATTTTTCTTTATTTATTTTGATACTATTTTATCATTATCATCATCATTTTGATTTTGATCTTGATCTTGATTTTGATTTTGATTTGGATTTTGATTTTGATTCTGATTTTGATTTTGATTCTGATTCTGATTCTTGTTCTTTAATGATTTTTTGGTTTTTGCCTTTTTGCTATTACAATCTAATATAACTTTAGCTGCATTGTCCCATGATTGTCTTCCCAACAAACGATACTAATAATTAATTAATAAAATAAAATATCATTAACAAAATATAAAAAAACTTTTTTAAAAAGAAAGTCAAACTTACTTGAGCTGGAACAGGTATTCCAAAAACCCATTTCCACCAAACTTTCAAACCAAACTTCCAAATAATTTTCATATGAGTTGGCATACAACCCAATTGTTTTGCAATGTCATCACTATATATCAATGTTTCACACTCAATTGTGTGTCTTCCAGACAAATAGAATACTTTTTTGATTTTGGCAAGATGTCTACGAACATCCTTATTCATTACTTCAGTACTTGGTAATGGTGGAACATTACCATTAATTAGTGCAGTTATATAACGGGCTTGTAGTTCCCTAATATATATATATATGCATATTTAGTGTGAATGTTTTTTAATATATAATATATATGTGTTTGCAAATAATACATATTAACTTACCCGATGGGAAACAAGGCACCATTAGCTTGGATTAGACCAATGAACGCAATGTTTGGTACATTTGGTGGAAACATGTATTTATACAACCAAACCAAATTAGTTCTAAACTCTTCCTCAAACTCTTCCTCAATTTCCTTACCACCAGTAAGGATCTCTTTGTCTAAAAATGGAAATCTATAATAATAGCCAGTACAATAGACTATTGCGTCAACATTCTCAACAATTGAGCCATCATCAAACACCACTGAATTGTCATCTTTAATCTCGACTATATTAGGTTTGACAAACAATGTTCCAGTTTTAAGTCGTTCAAAAATATCTGATTTTATAGTAGGATGATTACTGAATGGATGTGTTTTTGGCTTTAGGCCATCTGGGTATGAACCAAATGATACATGAAATATTAATTTAAATAATAAAGCCCTAACAAAGTTTGGCATGACGATCATGTTGAATCTAGATGATAAATGATCAATTGGTTCACCAGATACAAATCTAGGCAAAATCCATGGTAGTGTACCTTTTTCATTATTATAATAATAATTATAGTATTAATGGCAGTGAAACTGAATGTTGTTATTGTACAATTTTTTTTTTAATCAATTGATTACCTCTACGTGAAACAAGGTAAACTTCAGATGCTGACTGTGATAATTCTACTGAAATATCCATTCCACTATAATGAATTACAAATATATTAGTAAAAGTTAGCTAAATAACTAACTGATAAATTCATATCATTTTTAATTTACCTATTACCAACACCAACAACTATAACACGTTTATTTGCAAATTCTTCAGGCCTAATAAATTTAATATGTAAAAAAAGTTTTATTACACCTAATGCAAATGTATATTCATGCAACACCACATATGTACCGGGGTTGGTAAATGTGTGGTCCATTGGTATAATCTTTTAACCATATTTAGTATTTTATTAATGGCAATGGACCAGTCAATTTGCCAACCCTGATACACACTATCTCTTTTTCATTAGAAAACTTACGATCTATAAAAATGTGAATGCAATTGTTTTCCTTTGAAAACATCCATTCCTTCAAACTTTGGTAATCTTGGGTATCGATGGTGACCAATACAAACCAACACAAAATCAAACTCTTCTGATTGTTCTCCTGCTTCATTATTGATATAACTCACTGACCATCGTTGATCAGGTAAAATTGAGGCACGGGTAACAGTTGTATTAAATTTAATATATTGCTTCAAGTTGAAATTATCTGCATATAAATCGAAATATCTTAAAAGATTTTTATATTAGTATTAATGTTAACATTGGTTTTTGTTATTTTAATGAGCAAAACAATTAAATCTGAAAAATAATTGAATGGTTACTTTTTTACAAATTTTCCATGCATATATGTGGGCCAATCATTTGGAATAGGAAAATCAGAATAAGACATCTAAATGCAAATATTTGTCATCAAAAAAAAATTTTTTTTATTGCAAATCAGATAATCAGACAATCAAACAATCAAAGTCACATACAGTTTCTTTACTGGTGTTGATGATTGTACTTCGACAGATTGATGAATGCGGATCTTTGTTTTCTTCAGTAACCTCAGTATAATTCCACAGACCACCAATGTCATCAGTTGCTTCAAAACAAACTGGCTCAAGGTCATCAGCCAGACATTGTTTGATGGATGTAAGGCCAGATGATCCTTTTGAAAAAGAAATTTAAAAATTTGAAGATAATGAATGGTGATTATAGTGAAGAAAGATCAATTATAACAAATTAAGAATTCAATTATAATTTAATAATAATTTAGTTGGTTATATTAATTATTGATCCCATTACCTGCACCTATAATTGCAACTCTTTTCTTTGACATTAATATTAGTATGAATTAGTTTGTGCAAGTTACTTTCTTTAATCATGAAAAAAAAGTCGATTTATTATTATTTCGCTTTATTTTATCGCTAAACATGGTTTTTAATTACCATTATTATAATAGTAATAGCTTAACAAATTTGGCCAACAAATTCGATATGCGATGTTTTTATTTATGATGCCAAGATTTTCAGTAGATCTAGTATATTATAATTAAAAATTTCCCATATATTTTCTCCAATTAAGGAAATTTTCTGTCCGACTTTATAATCTCGAGTAACTTTTGTAATTGATAAATTTGTTTGTACATCCAAATAAAATTAAAATTTTAATTTGTTTTCTTTATAAATAACATACCGAGTTATTTTTCATAGTGGTATCAAAAAATAATAGAATTACTATTGTATAGTAAATTCATTTTCCAAATAAAAAGGAAGGAAAAGGAAACCAAACGAATTTAATTAATTATTATTATCACACAACTCTCGTTTATTCATTCAAATCTTTCGGCACTACCACACAACCATCCGTCCCGATTATTTGATTATATTTTCAATATGTTGATGACAGTTTTACTAGAATTCTTGGAATTTATACCAACATTGATATTTAACCTTAGATTAATAATCTAAAGAAAATTGGTACTATCATTATTATAATAATTGTTTTGTAGTTACTAATGATTATAACAATTATTTGATTGTTAGTGAAGTAGGTAATTGTAATAGCAATATAATAATAATAATTAGTATTTATAATAATTAATTATCATCATCTTTTTTTTTCAATAATCATGTCATTTTTATTTTATTTTTTTACTTTTTAATTAAAGGTGTGGGTGTGGAAGAAGAAAAGATGTTTGGTAAAGATGATATAATGATAACAATAAATAATAGTAATATGTTCAAAAACCAAAATCATTGTTATTATTATTAAAATAAATTAGTTTGTAAATAAATTTTTTTTTTTAATTTAACCTTTATAATAGTGATAAAATACAAAATAAAGATCATATGCATTTATAACCCTACTCAAAATTGTTTGAAATAACGAATACAGTCCATCGTAGACTTCATTAATACATACGCCCTTCAAAGTTACTAGTATAATCAACTATATTTAAGGTGGTCTCACTGACTCAAAAGACCTTTTGCATATTTTACAGCTTCTAATGCATGTTTTATACAATTGTCTATCGATTTTTAGTTTATACCGCAAGGAAAGTATGTATTCAATGTAAAGGTGAACGAGATACTGCATCATAACATTGTTTAATATCCTTTTCTGCTGCACGTGCAAGTCTATCGATCATCTATTACTATTATTCAATCTAAAAGACATTGACACCGGGAGAAGTGAGTTGAAAAAGAACCAAGAAATTGCGATTTAGTAATCTAGATGATAAATTATTGAAAAGTCAAGAGAAAGAAACAATTCAGCAAAATAAAAAACAAGCCAAACAAAAAAGAACTAGACATCAAGAATTTAACCAGCAATCGTAAGGCTATTTATTATTTTAGGCAATGTATATAAAAAACGTGATACGTAATACGTAATTACGAAATTAATTACGAAATTAATTACGAGTGACGATTGTGAAGAAATAATTATATATTTTATATGCTTTTTACACTTTATAAAGCACTAACATAAAAATTTTCAATTTTTCAATTTGTCGTTGAAGTAAAAAAAAATCATTTTTAATGAAAGATATTGTCTCCATAAGTGATTTTACTTAAATAATACATGTTTTTTACGAACAGGCACTTTAATTATTGTAAAAATACAAGTTGTCATTTTATTATCCTAAAATGTTCTTTAAATATAAAGAAAATACATGTTGATTGATATTGTGAGGATGAAAAGCGGTTAGGTCACAGGGAAGCAATAAGATTGGCCAAACTTTCTGATAGGACATTTTATTTTTATTTTGACTAAATGAAAAAAAAACATCAGGTTAATTAATTAATATTCCAGAGCCTGGCTAATAAGTAGAGGCAGAAAAAATAATTCACACATAATAATAAATAAATAAATTCTTTGTTTCGCTTATAAAAGCACTTTTGTAGTCGGAAATTCAACAATAGGGTTTAATTGTCCCTTTGGTTATCAGAATGGGATAGAACTCTGAGGTTTTGTTTATTTTATTTGGTATAAAGCAAAGATTTTGACGTTGGTTAACCTAGAGGTTGGCACCGCGCAAAAATTCTTTAACCAGTTAATTTAATCACGTGAAATTTTTTAACTGGTAAATTCAATCGTTCATTGCCACAGCGGATTCATGGTTCCAGCCAAAAAAATCTGTTATTATTATTATTATTATTATGATATCGGCAAAATTTTTTTTAATGATACGGTCCAAGCTCCTCTATATCGACCCCTCTGTCCATTGTTATATGTATTTTTCTGCTTTTGTTCGTTATAGTGAGAGAAATTAATTATAAAAAATTGAATCGGATACGAGAAATCCGTTATAGAGAAATTTACTTAGTGTTCGTTATAGAGGTTTGGTATAGTGTAATAAATTAATAAACTAAATACAGAAGTAAATTAAGAAATGAATAATACATGGGGAAATGAAAATTATTTGTTGAAATAAGATGTAAGATTTGGTTGTATTAGTTTTTCATTATCTAATAATTTCACCTTTTCAATGGTTCAAATTCTTTATAATCTATTTCTAAATCACCTTGTTGAAGAAAATTAAAAGCTGTCTCAAAGGAAATTATGGCATCTTTCGTTGAAACTTTAGGCGTAGTGTTACTCCCAACAACTATTAAATTATTAACATTATTTTTTCTCTATTTGAAATCTCTTCAATTATATTTCTTGAATTTTCAATGTTCATGATGGTCATGATTATTATTCAATACATTTGATATCATCATTGACATAACAAACAATTGCATCACCCAGGTAGTAATGATACCAAGGCTGCATAAATGAAACTCTTAATAATGCATGTCTACCCAGATCTCTGGAATTCACAAAATAAATTATTTTTCCTGATTATCAATTATGGTTCCTTATGAATAATATTCTAACGTTGATCACACACAGGTGTCAGATTTTCCTGTCACAAACAAGGGATAAGGTGCTTTCACACCTCCTCATAACTGTAGGATTTTTTCCCACAGTTGAGGTAATACAAACATGTGACCCTAAGTCTGGGCAAAAGATCCCTTTCTATGAGTTTGGCTGGTATATCCTAAAGGTGTCCCCTGTCTTGTCAGTGGCATGCCTACTCACCAACAACCCTACTCCCATTTACTAAAATAACAAATTCAGTTGGTCAGTTAAAAATTAAAGAGAAGCAGAAAATGATTAATTTATAATCATACCAAACAAATCTGAACCATTTTATTTACAGCTTTCTCCTTGATTCCAGTGATCATGGTGACTCTCACAATAGGAGTGGGAAAAATCAAACTGTCACCTTTATACTTGTGAGTCACGTGCTCTTATTGAGATACACTCCTTTAACCTAGGGTAGGAGGTTATAAAAGCCCCATTTAAAAAAAATAACAAATTCGGTTGATCAAACAAAAATTAAAGAGAAACAGAGTATTTATGAAAATGATTAACTTGTACAAAACATACCAAAATCCGAACCATTTTTATGACTTTTTCCTTGTTGGCCATATTGCTGACAAAGATGTATATAATCATGTGATAATTTTAATCTATACAACAGAGGACTGATTGGGCAAAAACCCATCTAGTCCCCTACCCAAAATTATTAAATTGGTTAGTATCAAAAAAAACAGAGCATTTATGAAAATGATTATACAAAACAAACACTATTTTGCAACTTTCCTCTTAGCATCAGAGCCCAAATGCAATTTCAGGGTCACCAACCCTGCTCTGAATTGCAACCTCCTGAGCTTGAAACAAGTTGTAAATTCTCATTGCTTTGATGATCTGGATATTTACATGGCACTACAATTCATCAGCAGAGTTGCAACTTGGACACAGTGCCATCCTTGCCCTAGAGATGGGATCATTGCAGGTAACTTTTTGGCTAGCATGCCAGCAGCTATCTCTGGTCTGGGAAGATTAGTGAAAGTGTCATTGATGATTGATGCAGTCTTGGTAAACTCCAGGACCATGTGGTCCCCCCTGGAATTCTGTAGCATCATTGTATCATCTGGGAAATCTTGGTCAGATTAGCCTTATGTACTAGTGTTCCATGTTGCAATCCAAAAAAGGAAACCAAAGTGGTCGCAAAGGTGGTTGCAACCAGGTGTTGCGAACCATTTTTATATGTCGCAAATATGGTTGCAACCATCACCAAGAATTGTGACCAGCATCTATATTATGTACATGAGGAAGATGTGAGAATGGCTGTAATGTGTTAAAGGTAGCATGTGTGCTTCAACACTTGCCAATTTCCAATAATCAAACATTGCATATCAAAATGTATCATATTCAATGGTATGCTGCCTTGACATCTTGTAGTTAAATTATGGTAATATTATTATTATTAATGATTATGAAAAGCCAAATACCAAACGTTCATTGTTGATGAGAATCTTATGATTACCCCAGCAATGATTTGCTTTGCATTTTGATTCCAATTAAAATATTCATAAACTAAAATAAAAATATCAATACAAATAGTACCTCTGGATAGTTATTAGCACAACTTCTTTAGGAGACCAAAACCAAACCAAACAACAACACTCACGTTTTGTCACCTTGGACTCTGTCAAAAAATAAATTGTTTTCCCAAAAAAAAAATCTTTGTGCAACACCAAGTGCCAATAATAAATAAATAATGACAGATGCATTTGTTGATCAAATCACAAACTTCTTTATTTTTTTTTTAAAAATGTCTCAACAAAAAATACAAGACAAGAGAAGTAAACAAAATGATCGAGAAGAAATTGCTGGGTAATTGTTTATCAAAAGAATGATGGTGGTGGTTATCACCACTCATTGTCACTCTAGTTTTCAAACAATAACAATAATATAAAAAAAATGTCTGAACACATATGCACATAGTTATGAAGAAACTGATGAAATACATGCTAGTAAGCTTTATAACTTGCTATCTTTCTGTAGTAAAAATCCAGCTTTTAGCCAATCTTTTGATTTTCTAGCACTTGTTGATTATCTAAAGAAAAATGAAAGCAAATCTTACAGTGAATTCATGCTCCAACATCAAAAACAGTTATTGATTTGTTAAATTTCTCAGATTATTTAGCTCACTAGAAAGACCTTAATGAATGTTGGTCCTATTTATTTTTAGAAACAGCACAAGGATTAGAAGAAAATGATTTTATAAATATAGAAAACAAGGTACATTTTTTTATTTTGCAAAGGGAGGATAACTCCTATTCAGGTTGCATTCTGACTAGGAAAATTACCAAGTTTTGATTGCTGGTGACCATCCTGGTTTTCACTGTTTGGGCACCTTAACTTTGTCATTAGTCAAGGTCTACTGATTTCAGAGGAGAAATTGGTTATGTACAGTCCCCCAAAAAAGTAATGGTGGGGCATTTTTCTATTATAAAAAAAAATTTATACAACAATTATGAAAAAAAATTTTATTTTTAAAAAATTTAAAAGTAAAAGATTATATTTCCAAAAGATTAGAATATAGCGAATTTTCATTCTATATTAATTCAAATTTGAACATAATTTTTAGATAATTAATTTTACTAAGTACTGCTTTTAATTCTTTTAAAAAATGACTAATTTTTAATAGCTTGACGAATATCAGTCATATTATAATAAAACAACCGTCGGAATATTCACCTAGTTAGGTTGAATTCAATAAAATTAAAATTATTAAAAGTCAACCACTAGTTATTAGGAAAATAAACTTTAAAAGTTGTCAACAATTTTAAAGGTAAAGAAATATCTCTATATTAAAACTTTATGAGTTTCGAATTTTTAATAATAACTTTTTAACAAATTATTCACTACTGTTATTTATATATTTTGGCAGGTGTCTTTAGTCATACTGCAAAAATTTTAAGAGATGAAATTGAACATGTTTTATCCAGAATTGGATCAAACAAATTTGCAGCTGTAGTGAGTGACAATGTTTCAGCGATTCTTAAGTGCAAGCAAGAAAACAAATTTCTGAAAAATATTCTTTCATTTCGAATACCAATTGTATAGCACACTATGCGAATTTGGTAACAAAAGATATTATGAGTATGTTTTTTTAAAATTTAGGCTTTTTTAATCTTATATATAGTTTAATAATCTATATTTTAAAACATTATAATTGGAACACACCTTCCCATATAAAGTCATTAGACAATGCAACAGAATCAGAAAACTTCCCACAGATCTGGAGCATTATTAAGAAATATATTGATGAGTATGGTATTAAAGGTGGTGGACAGAGTATGAATAAAAATTGCCTTAATTTGTTTACAATTAAAGATATGGCAAAAATTAGATATTATTTGTATTTGAATATTAAAAATGAATTGAATTATGAATCTAAAGAAAAATCTGAAAAAGAACCAAGATCTCTAGTCCAAGGAAGTGGGTTTTTTGATAATTTGATGAAGATGATAGTGAAGATAAAGAATTAGAAATACCAAATGAAGAAATTTATGTTTTAATTGTTAATGAGATGGTTGATTTAAATAATCAACATTTAATGTGGATTATGATGATTTAAATGATAGAAGATGAGAGTATGGAAGAAGTATTTGATTTTGATGCAATTCCTGAATTTCACCTCCACCAAATGTGTAAAAAAAATTATTATTTTTTAAAAATTTTATTAATAATAGTATTTTGGTTGTTTTTTAATAAGAAAAAATAAAAAATAAAGATTAAGAATATTTGTTTGGTTTAGGATTTTTAGGAGGTTTGAAACAGCCAGAGTTTCGAAACAGTTTAGGAGTTTCAAACAGTTTAGGAATTCAGGCTCATTTTCTAAACCAGTTTAGAATGGTTCTAATTCAAATAGTTCTAAATTCACGAGTTTTGGAAGGTAACTCTAGACTAAACTACTTGGACCAGTCCAATAAATCCAATTGCCAACACTGATCTGGAAAGAAGGAGATGCACTTATAAATATGATGATTTGTTGAGAGTAATGCCAGATATAAGAAAGTCATGGAAATATATGTATGCATAGAAAAATCTTAGCACGCGACATAAGTTACGCTAAATACTAAATTGGGAATGATCACCGTTTTTTTAATTTTGGCGGAGCTTATAAAAGTATTCCAACTTTGAACCTTTCAATTCAGCATAGAGACATTTTTTTGGTAAACCAGCCAGTAACCTTGTAATGCTTATCACAACGAACATAGTTACTGGTGGATTCTCCAAAAAAAAGAGTCAAAACGTTTCAAAGTCGGATAATTTTTTTATCGGATTAAGAGTTGGTGTACAATATCTATATAGAAATTATATTACTTTTTTTGGGAAGACACTAAATCCTCAATTAGATTAACAACATATTTTTTAATCATTTCTCGAGAAAAAAAAAATCAACTTTCATTTTCCAAAAAAACCAAAAATGATTTATACAAAATTATTACCAACATTTCCTCGTTATTCTGTTGCTTTAAAGACTAATAATCAATCTGTATGCATGAGTACATTTTTATTCTGTATGAATTAATTTCGAGATTCACAAAAACAATAATATAATTATATATAATTTATATTAAGGCTTTTGATAGGAACAAAATACATTCCATACTTTCACGAAGATCAAGGTAAATCATCAAAATAAAAGTTTATTTAATTTAATTTAAAGAATTTACAAATATATCTTTTCAAATTATCAACCAACAAACAAACTGATCAATAAAATAATAAAAGCGGTAATTCGAAAGTTACAGGAAGTATAATTGGTATAGATTTAGGGACAACTAATAGTTGTGTGGCAGTTATGGAGGGGAAAACCCCGCGTGTGATTGAAAATAGCGAAGGTGGTCGGACAACTCCTTCAGTTGTTGCTTTTTCAAAGAATGGTGAATTATTGGTTGGATTGCCTGCAAAACGTCAGGTACGTACGCGGCAAAAAATTATGTTAAAAAAGATTTATACACACTCATATTTATGTATACGTACTCGTATAGGCTGTTGTTAATCCCGAGAACACGTTTTTTGCTACGAAACGATTAATCGGTCGTCGATTTAAAGATAATGTAGTTCAACAAGACATCAGTAATGTTCCATATAAAATTATTGGACACACTAATGGTGATGCATGGTTGGAGTCAAGAGGCAAAAAATATAGTCCTGCACAAATTGGTGCTTTCGTTGTTGGAAAAATGAAAGATACAGCTGGTATGGATTCAATGAATGAGCTAATTGAGTTTTTTATACCTTTTGTTTTTTTTTTTATATATATATTATTAACGATTAATAATGATTATTTTATTTTAACTTAAAATCTAAAAGAATCATATTTAGGAAAACCAGTAAAACATGCAGGCAATTTATTTATTTATTATAAAAAAATTATATGTGTATATTAAACCATTTACTCCCACATATATATGCTCATGAACAAGATCGCATAATTCTATTGTAGTAATTACTGTACCAGCCTATTTCGATGAACCACAACGCCAAGCAACAAAAGATGCAGGTCAAATAGCTGGACTTGAAGTAAAAAGAGTGATTAATGAACCAACAGCTGCTGCGCTCGCTTACGGCCTTGAAAAATCGGAAGATAAATTAATCGCCGTTTACGATTTAGGTGGTGGTACTTTTGATATAAGTATTTTGGAAATTCAAAAGGGTGTTTTTGAAGTTAAATCAACAAATGGAAATACTCATTTGGGTGGCGAGGATTTTGATAATAAACTTGTTAAATATTTGGTGGATAAATTTAAAAAAGATGTATGTTTGTCTTATTGTGTTTGTTTATTTTAGTAATCAAGTAGTGATTATACATACTTAAATATATTATTAATAAATTTTATTATTTATTAATTTAGGAAGGAATTGATCTATCTCAAAATTCAATGGCAATTCAACGCATAAGGGAAGCTTCTGAAAAAGCAAAAATCGAATTATCATCTACACTCCAGGCAATAATCTCTTAAATTTATTATTAATTATAATTATTTTTTTAAAAAATTTGATCTTTATTAATTATCATTGGTCAAAATAGACCGAGATCAATTTACCATTTATTACAGCTGATAATTCAGGACCTAAACATATCAATTTCACATTGTCACGTGCAACTTTTGAATCATTGACAGATGATTTAATTCAAAAAACTATTACACCATGTAAACAGGCAATGAAAGATGCCAATGTTGATAAAAAAGATATCAGGGAAATAATTTTAGTTGGTGGTATGACCAGAGTGCCCAAGGTATTCGAGTCTGTCAAATCAATATTCAATCGTGAACCAACAAAAAGTGTTAATCCAGATGAAGCAGTTGCTATTGGTGCTGCAATTCAAGGTGGTGTATTGGCTGGTGAAGTGTCTGATTTATTATTATTAGACGTAACACCATTGTCACTTGGTATCGAGACATTGGGTGGTGTATTTGCACGTCTTATAAACAAAAATACAACTATTCCCACAAAGAAATCGCAAGTTTTTTCAACAGCTGTTGATGGACAAACTAAAGTTGAAATCAAAGTTTATCAAGGTGAAAGAGAACTTGTTCGTGATAATAAATTCCTTGGTAATTTCCAATTGGATGGAATTCCACCCGCTCCAAAAGGTGTTCCACAAGTTGAGGTTACCTTTAATATTGATGCTGATGGAATAGTAAATGTGTCAGCACAAGATAAAGCTACTTCAAAAGATCAATCAAGTATGTAACAACAACAATTAAATTATTCTTGCTAAATATATATTTATCTTAATTAAAAAACTTTTTTTTTTCCAGTAACGATTGCTGCATCATCTGGATTAAGTAAACAAGAAATTGAAAAGATGATACACGAAGCTGAATCACATGCTGATGCAGATCGATTGAGGAAGGAAATAGTTGAGGCAACAAATCATGCAGATTCAGTTATATATGAAACTGAAAAAGCAATGACCGAATATCACGATCGACTCAATCAATCAGAAGTTGATAGTGTTAAATCTTTAATTCAGGAGTTACGTGATATGGTCGCTAGTTCGCAACACAGTGTTCAAGATGAATCTGATTTGTCATCATCGGCAGGTAAAGCTGAAGATATTAGATTGAAAGCTGCCGATTTACAAAAAGCCAGTTTGAAATTGTTTGAAGCAATGTATAAGGTACATATTATTGTTTATTTGTTCGTCAGTAAAAGATAATTCTTTTAAGAAAATTAAAATTAAAACTCATTAATAAAAATAGGGAAATGCTGAAAGTGAAGGAGGACAATCTAGTGAAAGTGGTGGTGAGTCAGAAGGTGAATATCGAGATGTTAAAGATGACAAAGACAAATAAATAATCTTGGAAAACAATTTTGGATTTTATGATTATTTTTGTTAACACAAAATAAAAGATATTAAAATTTTTTCGATTGATTCTATCTTTATGTGAAATTGAGTGTTTGGAATACCATGTGAATTTATTCATCCAAACATCCCCCCATATTTAATTTGTTAATGTCAACAACACTTTCATATTAATGTAATGTTGCTATTTTTTAAACCATCTTTATTCTATCATAATCTGTGATACTGTCTAGTAGTAAATAATTGAATAATAGGTGGTGATAAACATTTTCTGATAATTTGTCCACATTCAGGAGAAACTTTAAAGTAATTAATTTGAAATTCTGAATCCAGTTCAAAGTTATTAATTGTACGTATTTGCATAGTTTGATGGATTATATAAATAATTAAATAATGGAGTCAAATAACTCTTTTTTAACATTATCGCCATTACCGTCTCTTTTATATGGGAAAAAGGGAACCCCTTTTTCCTAGAGTGCCCTCCATATAATAAAAAAACTTTCGGTCATAAAAGTAATTATTATACATTGCAGCTTAAAAGTTAAATTTGATTAATTAGTAATAACGATTAGCAATTTGAAAAATATAATGTATTTTTAAAAAAAAAATTTATTTAACTTTGAATGATTTATATTTACAGATTAAATAACGTATTTTTATATATATATGTGTATGTATACGATAATTTTATCGTAATCAAATGACCAATCTAATTACTATAATAAAAAATAAAAATAATTTGATCTATCTTCTATTTCTACGATAATCCTGTGAATCAAAAAAAAATTTTTTTAACTTATAGCATTACATTAATAACAATAATAAAAAACAAGCAAACTAAATAATACATACATCACCAAGAAACCTTTGAAGTCGATAATCTTCATTTCTTTTGCCACATTCTTCACGTTCTCTCTCACGTTCTCTCCATTCTCTAGTACGATCATGTGTACCCCATCCTCTATCCCTAACATCAATAGATCTCATATAATCTCTTGATTGCCCATCAAATCCACCACCACCACCACCACCACTACTACTAGGCATACCACTACCATTTGTTAGACCACTGTTATCAATTGATTGAATTTGATCCCGATCATTATTAATTGTTGATGACAGTATTGGTTGTCCATCTGGATTTGCCGGATCATAAGGTGAGGATGATGATGGTGACATTAGTATTGAAGAGGAAGAAGGTGGTGGTGGCGGTGATGGTGGTGATGGAACCGTTGGACGTCTTTGTGTGACAGGTGACGAATCTGGTGAATTAAAATTACCCAGACCTCCATGATATCTTCCTCCTCCACCTCTTTCACCCGGTGATGTAGGCATACCTCTAAAATGGCCACCTGATGATGACTTTCCGACTCTGTAATGACTACTACCACTACCGCTACCACCACCTCCATTATGATAACTACGTGGTGGTGGTATTCCGCGTGGAGATATTAGTGGTGGTTTTGAAGAAGAGGATGAAGAAGATCTCCTATATTCAGTTTGGTTTATAGAATCAATATCTTTTGATGTGTGATATTCATATGACGTTGGCAAGTAGTCTTTTGATTTAGAAATATGTGAAGAAGTGATCGGAAGATCGATATTGAAATCTACCGGGAAATAGCCATCATTTGTCATTGCAACTATTTGACTATCTGGTGTGCTAGAATTGTCATTCTTGTTGTTGTCCTCCGTTATTTTTGTTGATGATGTAGATGGAGGAAATGATGATGATGACGTTGACGATTGCTGTTTATAATATGTTGTTAATATATTGGTAGGGGTAGTGGTAGAGTACGATGAGTGCATTTCTTCAATTTTATTAATATTATTTAATTCGGTTTTACTTTGTTGTTCAGTAGCAGCGGTAGAAAATTTAGATGGTGAAGATAATGGCGGTAGTGATGTTTGTGTCGAAGATATTATTGATGTAGCATTAGTATTAGTAGTTGTCAATGAATTTGTTGACGTTATTGATGTTAGCATTGGTAATGTAGTAGATGGTGATGATAATGACGGTGTATTGTTTGATTGAGATTCTATTAATGGTTTCTTTGATTCTTCAGTTTTCGAAGTCAACGAAGAACCGGTTAGAACTTTCATTTGTTTATATTCTGAAAGTGAAAGTGTTTTTTTCTTGGATTCAGTTGATTGAGTTTTGGCTGTAGAAGATGTGATATTATTATTTGTGGTAGCGTTGATGGTAATGTTTGGTTTCGTAGTTGTTTCTTGTGATTTTGTAAAGTCAGATTGTAAATTTTTAGAAATGTTGGTATTTATTGATGAAGATTTATTGGGGTAAATATTTAAATGCGAGGTGTTAGTTGTTTTTAATGTTTCTAAATGACGACATGATGATGACGATGGTGTCGTCGTTATTGTTGACGGCAAAGCTTTTATTGTTGGATTGAAAGTTTTATTTGTGTGATATTGTGACGATGGTGATAATGTTGATGAAGTATTTTTTGGTATTTCAGGTATTGAAGTTGTTACAGTTGGTGAAGTTAATATTGGCGATTTAGATGATGATAATATGTTAGATATTTTTGTAGTTGTATCAAGATGTAATGACGATGAGGTTGTTTTTGGTGATGGTTTCGATAAATTGATTTGTGTGTGTTTAAAAGAGTCTAATTGTGTATTTTTTAAATTTAATTTATCATCATCGTCATCATTATTGTTTGTGTGAGGTGCAGGTGATGATGTTGTTGATTGATTACGTATATCGATATTAGTTGATAAAGTTGAAGGTGATGATGATGTTTTGCTTATATTTGATTGCTGTGGTTGATGATCTTTTCCAATTTCCATATACTTATTTTCGATAGAAGATAAATTCGAAGGAAATAAAACTGGTTCTCTGGTGGGACTTAGTTTACGTCTTTTCGATGATGGTTTAAAATCTAATTTACTTGAATACTCTTCATTTTTATCAATTAAACTACTAATCTCACTTTTAGCGTCAGCATTAGGCTTAGATTGATTTGGATTTGTGGAATTAGGAAATTGACTACTAAATGAAACATATCTTGATTTCCTACCACTACTAATCGCAGTTGTAGGTGTAGTAGTTGTAACAATAGTAGAACTTTGTGAATGCATTGCTCCGGTATCATGTTCTAAATCAATAATCTTGTTGTAATTATTATGACTACTACTATTATCAAGTCCTTTTGATTTTTTATCATCGTCTATGTTAATTCCTTTCATTTCTGATCTATTATTATATTTATTTCTGTCAACATAATCTAACTCCATCGATTCAACGACCTCTGATTCTTTATTGCCCTTGTTGTTGCTGCTGCTAATTGAAGTTGAAGATTTGTTTTGGTATGTAGCAATATCAGTAGCACTAACAGTGTTAGTAGGAGGTTTATTGTACGTGGCAGCAGCAACAGTATTAGTAGTAGTAGTATTAGCATTATGATCGATAATCATTGAATTGTTTGTAATATATGTAGTAGATTGCAGACAATTCATCCATAAATCTAAAAATTCTTGAAAATTCACGTCAGATTCATAAAATTTTGGTGGATTATTATATTTTGATGATGACGATGATGATGCAGTGTATTTATTATTGTTTATTTGATTAAAAGTAGGCGAGTAAACTTCTTCTATTTCTATCTCTTCATCTTGATCGTTGTCATCATTGTTTTTATTGTTATCTGCTTTAAAAATTGTTATTATTATTATTATTGTTATTATTATTCTATTATTTTATTATTTTGTGAATTACAACTAACACACTCACATACATATATATATATATATAAAGGAATAGTACCAACTAACCATAAGATGAAACTTGTATTTTTCTCTTATTATATGGAATATTGCTTTGTTGCGAATCAAAATAATAACCTAAAATAACAATATTTAAAAATTAATTTTTGATTAATTAATTTTAAATCATTAATTAAATTAATTAAATTAAATTTATCATACCTTCTTTATTTTTAGTCAAATCATCTTTTGGTTTCTTTGCGTAATTCTTCATTTTCTCAATCACACAATTATTTTTATCTTCACAGGCACATTCTGTAAACTTTAACAAGTTGTAAACGACGGTACCCATTTGAATCCTTTTATTTAAATCAATGACTTGATCTAAATCATCGTTGTCTCTTCCTTTACCACCAACATCACCACCGCCATCTTTCCTTATAAAAATATGAGCAACATGGTGATTATCCCAGTTCCAACCAACTGTTATTTCTTGATTTTGCATTATATCACATTTGGCAAATATACCCAAATGTAATTGGCGATCTTTAACTATACCATCATTAATATACATTGTTCGTGTTTCAGCATTAGGATTACATGAACGTCTAACAAACCTTGCATATGTTCCATAACGACGAGCATCTACACACAAATCTAATGTTGGATAAAATAAAACATATGGCTTCGTGGTGCCAAGATCTTTGTACCCATTTGTAGGATTATCTTTGTAGTCGGATTTTAAACAAACTTCACCTTTATACTCTGCAATGAAATTTCCTAATGATATATTTGATTGAGCAAAAAGACCATAACATTGAAAGTCTTTATTCCTATTAATAATGATATTGTTATTGATTGTAATGATATTGTTGTTATATTGTAGTGAACCGATTTTTTTTGCGGTTGTTTTAACTAAAGGGCGATCTAATGATTGTCTTTCCATAGCTAAAGGTTTACCGATTTCTGTTGGTGCTGATAATAAAGAAGAGGGCGATGATAATGATGACTTTTGTAAAAATGGTTTGTTTCCTTTTATGGAAGATGACGTAGATGTAGGAAATGTAGATGCAGACATTGATGTAGATGTAGTAGATGAGAATAAAGGACTAGGATTATTAGGATTATTAGGATTATTAGGGTTATTGGCTATAGAAGCTGATAATGATGGTGATAATGACATTGACATTGACATTGATAATTTCCTTTGTTGAGGTTGTACTAATTTTAAAACTTTATCAAAGAGTTCTTCGACGCCTTGCGACGTGATGATATTCTTTTCAATTAATTCATATTCTTCAGCTTCATTGTGATGTTGTTGTTGTAGTTTTGATTGTTTGTTATTGTGATTTTGATAATAAAATTGTTGAAGGTGCGAAGAAGAGTCACGACGAGATTTTGACATGTTGTTATTAGGTGATAGCGATGATGTTGATGATATGTTTGATGTGAAATCTATAGAATTATGAAAATCTTGATTTGATTTTAAATTTGTTCCCATTTCTAATGATAAAAATTTTGGGAAATAAATAAAACAATAAAAATTATTTTTATTTATAATAAATTTTTATAATAATCAAGAAGAATTAAATTGTAGTTAATAAATGAATTATATTATTATTATTAAATTTTTTTTTTTCATTATAATATTTTCTTCATAAATGCAATATTTACATTTTATTTCTCTCAAATGAGATTATAATATGTTTTCTTTTGAATTGTTATTGTTTGCAATAAATAGATCTAATAAATAATTTAACATCTTATGATCAGTTCAAGCTTAATCTAATAAAATCTAATAATCAACATTAAAACATCTACAATAATCTGCTAATCATCACTAACATAAAAACTTATTTACTAGTAATACATTTCTACCACCAATTTTAAAACCTAATGGTGTGTGATGATTGGTAAAAAAAATATATTAAATCGAAATCATACCTTTTAACCCAAGTTTAATTTTTATTTTTTTATTTATTTTATTTTTGGTAAAGCTTATAAAAATAATAGTAGTAAATAATAGTAGTTTTAGCCAATCAGAATTTATAATATTCATTAAGAAAGATTTTCAATAAAAATTTCTCAAATTGGATATCCATACTGACTGTAATACATGCGCAATAACAGCAGAATTTTATTTATTACTATGAAACTTGGGATATGCCTCATTAAACCTTTCACGAATTAATTTTTTTGTTAATATTTAATATTAATAATAATAATAACGGATTTATTTCGTATTCTTGCAAAATTTAACAAAAAGATTAATACTTTATTATTTTTTAAGACATAATATTAATTATTTTGTTGATATTAATAAGCTCAGAAGATAAACAAGATACAAATTTATTTCAGGAAATTGATTTTTTCCATAATGGTGAAATTCAATTGCAGAAAGTCTAGGAGAAATACAACTTGAGAATGATAGAAAATAACTATTCAATAAAAATAAATTAGGTTTTTGTAAATTAATCTAAATGATGTTTTTTTTTAAGATGGTGATTCTGATATCGAAAACAAGTTCTAGAAAGGGGATTGGGTTGATGTGAGTCACATTAATGTTAACACACCAATACAAAAAAAGAAAAAGATCAAGGGCATTAGCATTTCTCAGTCAACTATTTTTTTTCACAATCATCAAAGAGGGGAGGAGGACAAGTGACTACTATTATTATTATTGTTGTTGTTGTTGTTGTTGTTGTTGTTGTTGTTGTTGTTGTTGTTGGTATTATTGTTTATAATGATTGTGACAATTGCAACCCGTTCCTGTTCACAATCTCTAATCTTTATACAATACAACACTCATAGCATAAAGGTATTTTTTGTGGCATTGAATATGTTTATATTAAAATCAAACTCATTTAATATTAATAATATATTATTTATTAGGTTTGCCTTGTTCAATGGAAATTTAATTTACTTCTGAAATATCTTATCAAAAAGACTGTTATTTCTGATCTCTTGATTTCTGTTGATTTTGTTCATTATTAGAGTAATATTTACAGGTAAACTTTATCAGAAGTCATTTGATTTCTTAGCCAGCTTGCATCATTGCTAATAAAAATAATATGAAATTTTTGACCTCTTAATATTTATTTCAGCAAATTGGTATGAAATGCTAAATGTTTAATGTTTAACAACGTTTAATGTTTATTGTTAAATATTTAATGTCAAGTATTTCTATACAATGCCTTTAGTTTTGTAAAACAGTAAAATTTAAATCTATCTGTTTATTTATTCATTTATAATGAAATGGATGATTTTGTTGATTCTGTTTCTTTTTAATGTTGCAATGTTAGTGCTGGTATTAGGAATTATTAAAAAATGAATATTAATAAAACCAATTTTATACACAGAAGAGCTTCTTTATACATCAATTCCTTCTGATACTTTAGCCACATATATATAATGAATGCTTTTTACTATCTAAATAATTATCTAAATTCTAATTTTGCAATTGAAAATGTATTTTTTTACCTTTATAAACTAACTTCATCAAGGATTTTTAGAGATGTCAAATAGCATTGAACAACACTCCTGTTTCTTAACACCAAAAAAGTGATACTTAACAGACCCTATGCAAACAAACAGCATTGAGAATCCATGTTGCGATAATATTTACATAATTAATAACTTTATTAATGTTTAATTTATCAAGGTATTACAGTTATATAGTTGTTAAAAATTAATAAAAATAAAAAATATATATTTAAATTCAATTTGAAAAAATTACATTTTTATATAATATATAGTAGCCAGATAAATAAAAATAAATAAATAATTTAATACATAATAAGTGACAGGATTTAACTTAGATCTGGTATAACTAAATCAATTTGTTTAGAATCTACAATATTTATCACAAGAATGGATATTAATAAATATTGTTAATTTAATAAAAATGAAAATAGCCAATGATTGAATATTAATAATTACCATTATTATTACCAATAATAGTTACTTTATTGGAATTCACAGGTTGGGGAAGGTTTGTAAAATTTAATAATCTGCTAGTATAAACTGCATTTGGATG